TTTAATCAGATTCAGGTTTTTTCCCCTGTTAAATTTTGTCACTTGATGGCACCTTTACTTATTTTACTGTTCTGTCAAAAGTTGCACTGTGTGTGCAGATGTGACATCATTACGCTCTATGTACAGTGCATCCGGAAAGTATTCATACCACTTCACTATTTCCACATTTTGTTATGTTACAGCCTTATTCCAAATTCCAAAATGGATTAAATTCCTTTTTTCCCTCAAAAATTCTACGCAAAATACCCCATAATGACAAAGCAAAAAACTTTTTTTAGAACATTTTGCAAATTTATTAAAAATAAGACACTCAAATGTTGCATATACATAAGTATTTACACCCTTTGCTATAAAACTCAAAATTGAGCTCAGGTGCATCCTGTTTCCACTGATCAGCCTTGAAATGTTCCTCCAACTTGATTGCAGTCCACCTGTGGCAAATTCAGCTGATTGGACATGATTTGGAAAGCCACACCTGTCTATATAAGATCCCACAGCTGACAGAGCACGTCAGAGCACAAACCAAGCCATGAAGTAGAAAGAATTGTCTGTAGACCTCTGAAACAGGGTTGTATCGGCGCACAGATCTGGGGAAGGTTACAGAAAAATATCTGCTGCATTGAAGATCCCAAAAATCTTCATTTATGGTAGAGTGGCCAGACAGAAGCCACTCCTCAGTAAAATGCACGACAGCCCGCTTGGACTTTGCTAGAAGGCACCTGAAGGACTCACAGACCAGGGGTCCGTTTCACGTAGGTGGTTCAACAAACTCTGAGTTAAATCCTTAACTCTGAGTTGATCTACTCTGAGTTAGGAAACTCTGAGTTTCCGGTTTCACAATACCTGATTTGAGACGGTTTTAACAACTCCGAGTAGTTTGACCTGGAGTTAAGCACGTGCACGCCAGACATAAACAGCCAGCATCTGTGGAGCGCAGATTCAATGATCAACCAATGGAAACAGGGAGAAGGAGGGGGCAGCAGCAAGCCAACAGCGAATTACAGCACGTTTGTAAAAAGTGCAATAGGGAACCGAAGCCACGCCCACTTCCGCGTTAGCGCTATAGGTCCTATTGGGATAATAGGAGTGAATGGACAGGTCTATGGTATTTTCTGGTCCGCTTTGTTTTACACCCTGAGTCACAAATATGTTGTATTTTAACTTAAATGATAACCATTAAGGTAAATAAAGGCTGTGTTTGTTGTGTAATTGTTGATCTATTTGTCTTTGAAAACACGTAAATGGAGAGACTACAGACCTCAAGAAGTCGCGTAAATGACGTCACGTCAGTATTTCTACTTCTAGCTAGCTGACAACTCCTGTCAACTCGTTATCATTGCCAAAATGCCTGTGTGTTTTGTGCCAGAATGTCACCATAATAGTTAAACAAAAAATAAAATAGTTACATAAACTTGCCAAAGTCACCACCATCGTCGTCTGTCAAAGCTTAGACAGTGACGCAAAAATAGTGCGACGAGCGGTGTAGTTCATTACGTGGTCTCACTCTAAATTAAACTGTAGTTATAGCAACATGTCTAAAATCACGGCTTTTTCACGGCTCCTCTGCCTCCGTTAAAGGTGGGGCTGCTGGACCACCACCCGTTTTTGTGTTAGTTTAATATTCTTAATCATTTAACGGAACATAATAAGAGAGTAAAATTCAGTTTTGAGTGTGAAAAGAGCATTTTTTAAGGGATCAAACTGCCACTTAATACTTACTTGACAATGTAAAACATGATCAAAATGAGAAAATGCCGATGTCTCAGAAGTTGTTCTACATATGCATTGTTGGTCTATATGGGAGCACGGTCACACCGACACGCGCCACCTAGTGACCTGAAATGCACATTACAGCGTTTTCAACCACATTGTGTTTTTGTGTAAACAAAGCCTAAAAACTGAAAACAAAACTGTAACAGTCTGCTCTGCCCCTCTCCTGGGGGGTATTCCAGAAAGCAGGTTCAACATACTCTGAGTCTATCCCTGAACTCTGAGTTGACTTACTCTGAGATGGGAGACTCTGAGTATCCGGTTCCAGAACAGCTGATCTGAATTAGTTCAATCAACTCTGAGTATGATAACCTGGGGCCTGTTCTACGAAGCAGGTTCAACTTAGCGAGGTAGGCTTGGAGTTACCTCGCTCAACTTAGCGCGGTAGCCAGCGGTCTCGCTACACGGTTTTACGACGCTGGTTATCAACCTCATAAGTGGATCCAGCTCTGCTATGAGCGCGTGCACACATATAAGGCGGAGCCCGCCGCATCTGACCAATCGCGAACATGGATCAGTCTGGAGCGTCAGAGCAGGCTGGAGAGTGAAGGACCGCGGACTTTACAAACGAGGAACAGGAGACGATCATGAGAAAGTATGAAGAATTGAAAGCTATCATAAACCTCAAAAGCAACACCGTCGCCGCTGCAAAAGCACGGAGGGAATGCTGGCAGAAAATGCATCTTTGATGTCATTATCACCCTGAAATAGCACTGTTCAACATGCGCTTTTAACTAAGGTGACAGTCCCCGAATTGGATGATCTGTCCCCGGCTAAAGCTGTCCCCGAAAATGTCCCTGATTTAAGCGTTTCATGAATGAGAACAAAAATGTTGCATGTGGGCAAGAACAACGGTTGTTACAGTGGGTAGGAAGCACAAGTAAGCAGTCCTGAACAACAGTTTTTACAGGGTTATTATAAGGGGCGTGCGCTGCTACTAAATAGTACCGAGATGTTGTCTGTGATCGCGCAGCCCATGCCCATTCATTCCCAAGATGAATCATTCATTTGTTCATTCCTATCGTGTTTACATGTTTTTGTGTAATATGTCGGCCATATAAGCCTTTCATAACGGTGGTCATCCGGAGAAAACTCTCCCTGAAAACTCTCGCGAGCCAGAGTGCTCCTCCTCGGACAATGCGAGCACCGAGGTCTACAGGATCCTCCAAGAACGGACAAGCCGTTTTTCGAGAGAGCTCATTGGTCAGTGGGCGGGGTTTTTATACTCGGTGAGTTCAATCTGGAACTTAACCTGCCCCGGAGCAGTTTAGCCGTTCAGCGTATGTTGCTATGGAGACTCGCCTCGCTAAGAGGTGAACCCGCGTCGTAGAACAGGAAACCCCGAACTTATCCTCAAAGTTACCTCGCTAAGCAGTAATCCTGCTTCGTAGAACAGGCCCCTGGAGTTACGCGCGTGCACAACCACTATAAAAAGCCATCATCAATGGAGCCCCGATACCACGAGTCACCATGACAATAGAGCAAAAACGGTCAATTTATTTCACCCCGGTGGAGTTGGAGGTCCTTATGCTGGCCTATGGCGAGTATGAGAACATTTTTAGCCACAAATCCAACACGGCTGCAGCAGCGAAGGAGAGAGCGACAGCATGGGAGAAAATTGCTGCGCGAGTCGATGCGTAAGTTTGAATGTACTATTCCACTGACGTAACATATAAGATCGAAGCATAGTCTATAGTTAAGAATATAAGTAGGAATGAAATCTGATTTTCATTTAGGTGCAATCCAACGGGAGAAAAAAGGACTTGGAAGCAGCTCAAAATGAAGCATAAAAACATAATTCAAAAAGGTAAGGCATATTTTGCTAGGCTGTGATTGCACCTCACTTTGGTTTTGATTTAATTATTTTAAATGGACTTAGGCTATTAGACAAAGTCAATATTAATTCAAACTAAAATATTAATTCAGCGGCTACTTCAAATAATAATTTAGACCCCAAACAAAATGTAGTTTTTCAACGTCCTCTCACTTAATTCTACACTTTGTGGATTAACACTTGATACAAACACATTTATATTTTAGACCTATTGAAGTCATTTAAAATGTGACGCTGTAGCCTACACCAACACTGATTAAAATACTATTTTAAAATAAACATTGACTTCTGCTCAGCCAACAGAAAGAAGGCAGAGGCCCGAAAAACGGGTGGAGGGCCACCTCCACCACCTCTGACGGAGGCTGAGGAGCTGGCCCTCAGCCAAAACAGGGGTCGCCCTGTGGCTGAAGGCATCCCCGGGGGAAGCTCATCCGAACCTGTCACCCCCCAGGACATAAGTCCCTACATCAAATGCAAGTATACACTTATGTCTTTAAAAAAAAAAAAAAACTAATATATAAATATATATAGCCTACTTTTTAACAAATATATATCCACCCACCCAACAGTTGTGGATGGTGTCATCTGCCTGCTTCAGCCTCCGACAGAAACAAACCCTGTAGCTGTAAGTCTTCCATACTCAGATGCCTCAGATGGTAGTTCAAAGTATTCTGAAACAGTATATTTTCCTGCATTACAGGAGGAGGAAGAGGAGGAGGATGAGGATGAAGAAACACTGTCTGCTGCCACAGGGAGAGATCCAGAGGGGCTTCCTGAAGTGTGTCTTAATATTTAGCTACTGGCAGTGCCCATTCATTTACATTCTAAAGTGGAATTTGGAGTTTGACATGTACACTGAATACACGGCCGGAGAAGGTTATTTAGATAAATTATACTGTTCAAAGAAAAGCGGTAGCATTCGAAAATATATTCTTCTGGAAATGATAAAACGTCTAATCTGGGTCGGAAGATTCTCTCGCGACGTAAACCGTTGCGCATTTTTCTGGCTTCGATGTCGATCGGATTTTCAAGGAATGGACAATCCATGTTCAACCGCTTTCTTTGTGTGGGAGGAGACATGTAGAAACTCTGGGTCTCTTATAGTAAACCTGTCAGCGAGCAGGTTATGTTCACAGAGTAAGTTACCGCAGTAACTGACCCAGTGTTTAAGTTACCTCTCTTTCTGGAACGGATAACTCAGAGTTTCCCTCATCTCAGGGTTAACTTACTCAGAGTTTTTCACATAACCCGCTTTCTGGAATACCCCCCTGCTCTGCTGCTCAGCCACACCCCTCATCAGCTAACTGCTTCCACCTGCTGCTCTCACCTGCTCATTATCTCCAATCAGGCCAGTATATATGCAGCTTCTTTCCCCTCATTTTTTGCCAGATTGTCTTCGCTCTCATGCCTGACTCTCCAGCGTTCATCCCCGGACTGCTTACCTGGTATCGACCTGATACGCCCCTGACCTTTGCTTCACGCCTCAGCCCCGGTAAACCTACCTGCCTTCTGTCCCTGACTACGAGCTCTGCCTGCCTGTTTCCTGCTATTCGTCTGCCTGCGGCTGGGTGGCACTCAGCCTGTTCCTGCTCTGTTAAGATCCCCCTTCTCGTCAGCTTCACCTCGCCAATTCACCTCCTCTCCGACGTTGGTTCTGCCAGCTCCACTGCAAGCTCTGGATCCTCACCTGAACCACTCTCCAAGAAATCTTCCTCCAGCTGTGAGTTGAGCATTTTCCCCTTCACCACACTTGTAGAGCAAATTAAGACTGTGGACAATTCCCTGCTCAGAGTCCAAAATTCTTGCCTGCCCTGTGGCCCTCCGCTAATCTGCTCGCCTAACACCCGGAAGACCCGTGTTCGAATCCTGCTATACTCCGCTGCTTCATTTGATCTGGTGTTAAATAAAGACTGTTGTTAAAGTGAACCTGCTTGTTTGTGCTGCAATTGGGTCTAGTCAATACCCGTTACAGAAACGGCACTTTTCCATTGTCTATGGAGACCGTTTCCGCCTAAAAGTGGCCTGAGGTTGTGCCAGTTTTGGGGAAAAATCTTGAATGTAAACTCTACCCCTCTCAACCAGTTTTCCCCTCAGCTTCCCCCCCCCCCCCCCTGCTCCAGTAAGCCCCGCCCACAAGCAGACGCTCCTGCTTGCTTGTGTTGTTCCAATTAAATTCAGATATAATGCAGATAAATACTTCAGATAATTACAAATGGGGCCCAGTCAACATGAAAGTAAATAGCATTGGTACTACTGTAGATGCCAACAGACTACCAGCAAACACAATGTTTGCAGGACTTCTACAACTAAGATAAAGTGACATACTCCAGGATCCAAGGTTAACAGTTTAGTGGAGCTACAACACACAGCAGGTCCCATTTGACAAGAAACACTTCTGTTACAGACACTTGGCTTTGTCAAAGCGGTTTACCTGTTCAGCAGAGAGATAACAGGGTCCGTAAGATCCCGAAGCGCCCCCTATCATTGTTGACCCGGCTTCTTAGTTCTTGTCCGGATGGTTTACCTCCTTTTAAGCGCCTGTAATTCCACTAGAGGTATTTAGTTTGTTTTCTTGCGTTTGTTGGCAGTTGTGGCTAAAGGAGAATTCAGGCAATTTTTCATACTTTCTGGTTGGTTTCTAATGTCCGATATTGTAGCACACTAACTTTGTTTGGGCTCGTAAACGACACAGGGGAGCAGCATCTGCCTCACAACCAATCAACACTAAGAACCAGCATCTGCCTCACAACCAATCAGGTTGGGGGAGGCGGGGAATGGCTTTGTTTACAGTCAGAAAGAGCAGAGCACTCTGAAACTTTAAAATGTTGACTACACAGACATAAGAGAACACAGCAATATCATTATATTACCAAATGTCATCAATGACTAATAGCTGTTGACTGATATTAAAAGCTTTTAGTATATACACCACAAAAAAAGATGCTTCTTTAACGGATTCCTGCCTACCCCACCTTTAAGTGTTTTCATGTTGAGCAACCAAAAATTACTGCATACATGGCCGTTTTTTAAAGCTTTCTAGCTTTTTTACATTCTATCTGAGTCAACCCATGACCATTTTCCTTATTAAAGCTAACCAAAGAATAGTGGGTCATACTGCAGCAGTAAAACTATTACTTCTGTTTCCTCTTAACCATTATGACTAACACGCAAAAATACTTAGTCTGATAACGGCTCATGATAAAACTTTGTATTTGTAAAATCTCTAGTAGGAGTTGTGGTTGTCATGTCCTGCAGTCAGTCTGTATCAATATCCCAATCAGTAATGGCTCAGTGTTGACATGGTGTCACTGCAATAATTATTTATTATTGATCAGACACACTTATACAGATGGTTCTGTGGGTTTCTGTGGTTTTCCTTGGTTTAATATTGCAGGTGATGAGCTGTTTCTGTCCACACTGTCAGGGCAGGATGTATCACCAATCAGCTGCTGCTGTCTGAGGTGCAAAAAGATGCAGGAAGTCTCTGCTGGAATTGTCTCAGCTCTGGATGAAGTTAATTTCTCCTTTGGTAGCTTCAGAGTTAAGTAAACAACCTAATCTGCGTCACTGTCACACTCATATTTTTGGATTCTGATGTTTCATTTGAGCATTGGCATGTCTACAGTGAGAAATACACAAACCTGAGGCATTGCTGTATTGGCACCACAGAGATGTCTTTAGTTGTTTATTATCGACTTACTGCTGTTAGTTGTCATGACAGGTTTGATAGCATCAGAAACGCCTGGGGCCTTTGAGCAGTATGTATCACATTGTAAACACAACAGCATTAATAATCATAATAATACATTTTATTTATAAGCGCCTTTCTTAACACTCAAGGTCACTTTACAGATAAAAACAGTAAATAAAACAACAGGATATAAGCAAACACAGAATAAAATGGAACAAAGTAATGAGAGTGATCTATTCTGAACAGGTGGGTTTGGGTCTGGATTTGAAGCGAGGGAGACTCAAATGTCAGCTGCCTGAGCGTCAGAAAGTTCTACTCACCATGCCACTGAGGGGGGCAGAGGGCACAGTGAGGTGGATGGAGGAGAAGGATCAGAGGGAACGGGAGGAGGTGGCAGTAAAATTTAAAGGAGTGCTTATAGCATAACAACTGTGTATTACAGCAGTCACATTACTGACTCCTATCATGACACACAGTAACATGCAAAGACAAAAACAAGGAAAATGTCATAAGTGAAAATCTGAAGAGAACAGAGCAGCCATGTTGGACTAATTTAGGTTATGCTGTTTGTGTAGCCAATTCTGCTAAAAAATAACAACTTACTCTAAAGTCACACACTCCTCCTCTTTTTCACATGATGCTTTTCAGAATCAGAATCATCTTTATTGACCATATATACACATACATAGACTCTGGTAAACTTTGCCCTCCATGTACAAACGTAAAGACCTACCTAAACTTTAAGACCTACCATAGAAAAAGTTCGCCAGAGCATATTTTTTACACTTTTACATGCTGTAGAGCCATTAAAACCTACAAGAGTGCTCTCATTTGCGTATCTATTTTTAAATGCCTGTAGAATTGCAACCAAATAAGATAGAGCAATAATTATTTTTGCATTGGATTGGACATATTCTACTCACAATGTGTCCAAGAGCATCGTTTTCCTCCAGAAACTTTCTTACTTCTTTTGCAGAAATCCTTTTAAAAAAGCGCTAAAAAAACAAACAAATAAACATCACAATCCAGACTCCTATGTGTACGACGGAACACATGGTTTTCTTGCACACCAATGCCAGAAACAAAAGGAAGTGATGTAATTTTGTAACTTGTTCGCATGATAGGCAATCTGCTTGGGGTCCAGTAGGGGGCCTGTGATGTTCTCCAGGGGTCCGTTTCACGTAGCAGGTTTAATGGAAACTCCGAGTTTGTTAACCCTGAAATCAGGGAAACTCTGAGTTTTCCGTTTCACAAAGGAGGGTTAGTTAAACCAGGGAGAGAGGGGTAACTCTAACCTGTTTCACAAAGAGAGGTAACTCAACCTCGCGGTCAGTTACCACAGTAACAGACTCCGTGAACCTAACCTGCTCGGGAGCAGGTTTAACTCAATAAACCCAGAGTTTCAGGTGAGACATCGGCATTTTCTCATTTTGATCATGTTTTACATTGTCAAGTAAGTATTAAGTGGCAGTTTGATCCCTTAAAAAATGCTCTTTTCACACTCAAAACTGAATTTTACTCTCTTATGATGTTCCGTTAAATGATTAGGAATATTAAACTAACACAAAAACGGGTGGTGGTCCAGCAGCCCCACCTTTAACGGAGGCAGAGGAGCTTCTTGCAACTTCTCGGCTGCAGAGTAAGTGACACAGCAAGCTAAACTCTACAGTTAGCAAGTCAGGCGCAGCCATCCGTTTATGTTTCCTCTCCTCTGGCCTTACTTTAAAAATAGAGGATTACGTATGTAAAATCAAACAGTTTTTTAAACTGGACTTTCGGTCAAAGCAGGAGGTAATAATTAAGGGTGGACAATTTATCACTATCATTTATAAGTAAAGGTAAGACCATAATGTTATTTGTTTGTTTGTTTGTTTGTTTTTTAATTTTTTTATTTAATGTGGGGTTTTTTGTGTGTGAGTTTGTATGCGTGAAGAAAGCTGATATGATATTTTAAACATAACTGCTGCCAGTCAAACGGTTAATAAGCTCCTCTGTAGGGTTCATATGTTTGAAAATCTGAAGTTAGTGCCATGAACCTCATCACATGTCACTGATTTCAACGAAAATACCAAACTGGCTGTGTGTCGGGCTGCGCTGCACTAAAATACCACTGCGTGGGGTGCCCCACCCTGTGCTGCGCTGCTGGCAGGCATGAAAATAGAGCCCAAGGTATTTTAAGTTCAAACTGATAAACTGCTTTTTATACTAGTGTGTTGGCTGATTCAGTGTGTTGGATAAGGCTCACTTCTAGATGACATAAAAGTCCACTGAAAGTGGGTCTCAGACACTTTTTTTTTTTTTACAATAAATAGTTATTGTGTATTTTTATAGAGTTGATTATTGTGTAAACATAACAGCTTTAAATGTTATTATATTAATATTTAAGTTTAAGTTTTAATTATCATGAAAACTATGAACAAAACTGGAGCTTTGTGTTTTTCCCATAAGCTGTGGGGATTTTTATAGATTTTTTTCTTTTTTTTTTTGGATCAATTTTCAGAAGTGTTTATAATTTTCATCAATCACAGGGCCCGTGGAGGCTCTGGCAGCACAACACAGTCATTACAGATAACTGTTCTGCCAGAATAACTTGGGAATTCACTTTAGTTTTTCTGGAGCCTTGGTCTATTCCCTGTCCAGCTGTACTGAAACCAGTCCAGACTCCTGATGAAGGATGGATTCTGCAGACTCATAGGGGGACTCAGGGACATTACAGCACATCATCTTCACAGGCAGAGGGACAGTGTAAATGCTTTGTCTTAGCAGATCCTGAAGTTGTGGGTATAAAAAGCTTTTGCTGAGCTCATGATGAAGTTGTGAAGATGATATCATCGCTCAGTTATCAATCTTAAATGAACAGACTCATTTTAACAGCTTCATTTATGTTTTCACAAGAGCAGCATTTTGCTTTTATTGAAGAAGTAACTCATCATTGAGTTGTCACTGTCAGAGGATATGAGCTGATATGACAGGAATATTAAAAAGTCACACTGTACTCCTGGAGGAGAGTAAATGAGGAGCAGCACTTTATTTCTTATTTCACATTGAGCTTTGGAGGGTAATTCGAACAGTTTATTGTGTCAGGCACATGGAAAGTGTCCATCACTGGCAAAACCAGCTCCCAGCCAGACATTTATATACAGTGTGTTTACATTGTTTACGGCAGTGCTGGAGGAGGTTATTGGAGGAGTAAATCATGTGTTGGTCTGCTGTTTTATTAGATGATTAGCTTTTTATTGTTAGGGTATCAATTCTCTATAGGGCCACAAAGCAGGATGAGTTAGGACATAGGCCACGCTTGTTGTTGTTGTTGTTGTTGTTGTGTGTGTGTGTGTGTGTGTGTGTGTGTGTGTGTGTGTGTGTGTGTGTGTGTGTGTGTGTGTGTGTGTGTGTGTGTGTGTGTGTGTGTGTGTGTCACAAAGCTTCACCAGTATCAGTGATGGACAGTACAGCAGAGTCACAGGCAACAAGCATTAAAACAGAATAGAAGTAAAAGTAATAGATCCATGTACTTTTCTGGTGGTTTTTACCTTTTCAATCACTCATCTCTCTTGTTCTTTTCTGTCTGATATCAATACATTAATATTTTGGTGATAAATTTCTCAAAGGTGTTAAATTCAGTTTGTTTTGTTTGATAGTTTGTAATTTTAGTTGTAAATGAAAGTAGGCTGGACAAAAATAATGTTCACCATTTGGGTCTTTTTCTGTATATTGTGTTTATTTTCTAGCATGATTCAGCCATGCTCCAACCAGCAGCTTGAAGCGATTTATCATTATCTCAACGTGAGATTCTATGATTTAAAACCCACTAGAAAGACGATGCTGATCAGCTCGACCCCTTCAATGAAAATCTGCCCAGAGAGCAGCATACTGACATTTTTCTGCAGACAAGGTCAACTCTGCTGCGTACTTTACTCATTTTGAGTAAGTCCAACTCAAACACTTGTCTCGCTGTGTGTATGTGTAAGTGTATGCTCTACCGAAAGCTGTTTTAGCTCTTTATTTTGTTACCAAGTTTGACTCCTGACAAACAGAAGTTTCATCACTAGCTTACACTTTAACCACCTAATGAAACCTGCAGCTGTAGCTAGTACACTTACTAGTGACATGTAACTCACTGCGACTTCTACTTCAACTTTGGTGTAGTGGGACTTTTACTGACATGGCTGGGCTTCTTACCATTTGCCAGCAGTGTTGATTTTGTCAATTTTTTATTTTTATTTTTTTTTGTCAAGAATTAAGGTCTTGGTCATTTTCAGAAAACTGTGGTTGATGTCAGCTATATTCTAGTCTTTGTGTTGTTTCTGTCAAAATTTAGCCAGAGGAACTTTCAATATTGGATCACTGACAGCTAGCAAGTTCTGACTTCCTAACATAGACTGTAAACAGACTTCACCAGGTGAAAAAAAACATGCAAAGACAAAAATATGGAGGAGGAGGTGAGAGTGTGTATCAGCACACTTGTTGCAGATACATGAATGTAACATTTTTCATTTTAGTTTTCTTGCCATTCACTTTATTGTCTCTAGTCAGGAACATAACCATGTGCTGGTCACAGCTTTTTTGATAAAGATTTGTGTCCAATTTCAACTATTCTTGAAGATTGATCCACATCTGTGGTGTGTTGTGAAAAATCCAGCATAAACTTAGTAAAACAATGCACAGGAGACAGGATGAGATCTGAAGAACAGCCTGGGTGTCTTTTATTGTACGGATGTAAAAATCAGTATAGATGACAAACAGAGTCTTGACATAACCCAAGGAAATCCTCCCTAGCTTTTTCTTCTACTCCCTTTTATACTGTTAGGTGTGTGTGTGTGTGTGTGTGTGTGTGTGTGTGTGTGTGTGTGTGTGTGTGTGTGTGTGTGTGTGTGTGTGTGTGTGTGCGAGTATTCCATCATCATGGGTATGTCACATCAGTTCTCCAGACAGCTACCCATGATGACATGTCGTACTGTTCTGACCCTCAACACTTTGTTTAGACTCGTCTTAACTCTCACAGGGATTAAATGTTCCAACAGACAGATAGTTTTGGCTCCTGAAAGACAGCCTTGCTTTCAACCTCATGGTCATGAGGCTGCATAAGCAGGCCAACCTAGATTATTTGTAACTCCTTACTTAAAGATAATTACTCTATATTTCTTAACCTAAATGTATGAAAAGGTTCTACTACAGGTGCACAATAGGGACATGCAGTTTACCCCAGATCTAGAAAAACTCAAGGTTCTGTGAGGGGCAGCAGATAGAGACTCATGTGTTTTCACTGAAGTGCAATATCCTACTTGCGTGTTTCTACAGCAAAGAAGGATTGGAGTAAAGACAGACAGCAGCAACGTTGGCCTGACTCCAAAAGGGCGCAAAGAGGATGCTGACCAAACCAGAGCTGGACAATGACACAGCTCTGAAATGATTTCCTCACTGGATTTGTCTCCACATTAATGGGGATTTTCCACCTTTATTTTTCACTCCTGTCATGGCCACTGTCCTCTTCTGTCTGAGTCTGCCTCTGTAGTGTGATGTGGATGGTGAGCCTGGTTTCATTGCTCTCCTGTAGAGTCCTCCAGTAAAGTTTAATGAATGTGTATTTTGATTGTAAGAATTATCTTCAATCTCTTTCATTAATTGCAGAAATCAGGGACATAATATGAATGATTTGCTGATACAGGCCAAACAACACACATGCTGGTAATTGAATCATTACATATGTACAAGCACTAGTTCAAAACAAATGTCATTCGATGTATGCAAGCAACAGGTTCAAGGATTGGTTTCTGAAAAACTGATACCAAACCCTTTTTCTTTCAGACAAAAAAATACATTCAGATATTCAAATTCATTTTTTTGGAGCGCTTTGTTTTGAAGTACTGAAATACATCCTAGGTAATTCAACTTTGGTCAAAGATAGCTCTATCCTTATAATATAACAGTACTTGCTATTTACACAAAGGATGTGTGACAGCAAGTAAAGTATTGGTATTAAGCTAAAAATAAGCACTAAGTGTTAGCGTCAGTTCATGGTGGTCCCCCTCTCCACTTGTTGTCTCAATTTGTAAAATGGAAAAAAATATATATATAACAATGGAGATGCAGCGGCAACTTGCAAGCTAACTGTAGCATCCCTAGGATGGATAGTTGGTGGTGAATGGATAAGTGGTGGTGATTTTATAGGAAATGAAGCATGACGAACAGCTGTTTTATGAGGCAATATCTCCTCCAAAGAAGTTTCAGTTTCAGGGCTGGTGATGTGGATAAATCATAAATTTTAACATCCTTAGAAATCAATGATTACGTGTGAAGAAACTGTGCTTATTTAAAAAAAATAAATAAATTAAATCTGTTACTCTGATAGGAATGTTTGACATTTTTCAGTATAGTTTTTAATAGGTAAACCAAGAAATATTACCTTTATAACAAAATATTATGATGATATTGCTTGTACTTGGTTTGTTAGAGTTTGGCAGATGTGTGCTCTGCAATATCAGTAGAAATCCCAGCAACAGGGTCCAGATACTGGTGCTGGTAGCTGAAGATTTTGGTCAGACCAGATGGTTGTTGAGGAAAGAGAAGTGGTGACTGTTTAGTGATGGACAAATAAAAGACACTTTTAAAAAAGATTAGAAAGATTATTGGCTAATAATGTGGGCAGAGATACCAGACTGTTGGGCAGAGAGGATCAGACGATTACAAATCTGGTTTCCCAAGAAAAGTGAGTGATCATGTAGGAAGGGCATGAGTGAGAAATCAAAACCACGAAAGCAAAGCGCAGTCCTCCTGACTGCACTTAATTTAAACATCAGTGACGAGCCAAAAAGACGAGAAAAAAAAAATTCTTATCATTAGTATTCCTCATTAGCTGCTGTTTATAATACCTTGCTGCAGTTTGGATGTTAAATACTAAGTGGTTTTAGTTTTAAACACCCATGACATTAATTCCTTTCAGTCCCTGAAAAACTAATGAGAATAATATTTTAACTGTCCTGTTCAGATTACTTGGTATTTAGTATTAAGTGCCACGTCTCTTTGATACCAAACATTCATGAATTTAAATAAATGTGAACATAATAATTTGAATAACAATAATTATCATTACTAAAGTAGCAGAATAATAATCATCCCCATTCATATTCAAATATGAGACCTGGGTAATGGACTGAGGGGCTCTGGCCCAGAAGTGTTAAGGAACACTGTTTCAAAGTAATCCTGAGAAAAATTTGGAAACTCTGTTATCACAAAAAGACTAAATGAAAGCCCTGTGTTTCTGCAGAGAGCCAAACGATGGACCACATCCATGAACGGTGTCCAAGCCAACAGCTCTGCTGAGGATTCTGAGGCTAAACACAACTGTGCAGGCATCGATTTGGCTGCAGGACACAAATATATTCACATGATAGATTCTCCTGCTGTCAGCTCCTCTGTTCCTTTTTGTCTAGTTTGACATCTTCTAAACTCAATCTTCTTGTCTCCATGTCTTCTCACAAACACCATCTGTATAAACCTGTATTAAATTACTGTTGACTTGAAGAACACACTTAGGAACAAGTTAAGCATACAGCAGAGGAGAGCCTGCACAGGCTGAGTGCTTTACAGTTTTAACAGCAACATTTTGGAGTGCACTTTTACACAGTAGAGACACAACACCAACACACTGACAATACAAGCCCTCACCTGAATTTTAGATATGTGCAAAGCTTTTTAGCTACACCCACAGTAAACACACCTGCACATGCAGTCTCCCACTCACAATGTCACTCTGTCGACCTCAGATAGTGTGTGATGGCCGCAGGCACCAAGTGTAGCGGCAAATTATGTTCATGTGTTTGCAAAAGTATGTGTATAAATGTCATAAAGTCACATTGTTTTTTTTGTTTTTTTATTTTACAAAACAGAAACACCACTGATTAAATCTCAGAACAAGAACACACTCTGTGCTTGTTAATCTGCATAAATAATCTTTCCTGCCCACACAGTGATAAAGATGAACAACATGACATTTCTGATATTATAATATGATTAAGGAGGGTGACAGTAACCAGAGGGCTGCACAGTTGCACGACTTCAACAGGCGCACATGTGGGTCAGTCTTGTGTCAGTGCTCCTGGAGCACTCACCAGATTTGTTCTGCATCTGTCTGCACTGGTCTGCATCTTCCCCTCTTAAACAACATTAAAGGGATATTCCGGCATAAATTTATTTTTTCTTGGAAGCAGTTTGTCTGAAAAACATTTAGTTTGTATTAAACTACTGCTAAAGATTAACCCTATGCTTGCACATTTTTGCTTGTCACTTAGGGAGTACCAATAAAAGACAAGGACCTACATTGAAACAATTGAAAATTTATTGGTTCAGGAATGTAAGGTAAAAAAGGGGACTCATGGGAATGTGATTAACAACTTTACAAAGAAAGGGAGGTGGGCGGCTTCTTATTTAGACTGAAGCTCATCAAAACACATACAGTAAACCCGAATGAGTTCAGAAAACTCAAAATTTTAGTTGTAACTGATTACATAACAACTTTAAGTTATGATGATAATTTTTTTTGAGTTACACTATACTTAAAATATGTTCAGTTGACTTAATCTTTATTCTAAATTCAATCTATTTTTTTTTTTTATTCTCTTAACTTAATATTTGTCTTCTTCATACTAACATGATTTAATTGAATGAAACTTACAAAAACTATAATACATGGACTTGAAAAATTAACTGTACACAATGTATTACATAAATAGTACCTACTCAAAATATTTCACCTGTTTGATCCCACCAGCAACAGTAGCTGCCAGACTTTTTTTTTATCTTCTGGAATCTCTTAAAGAGTTGTTTTGGTTTTGGGCAGCTAATGTAAGTTTAAGAATGAAAGAATAGCTTGTCTAATATAAATTGTTTTAATATCATGTAACCGGTGTGAACAGTCACACGACCGGGCCTCTTTACTTCCTACCTGCACCTCCGGAAGGAGATGTCTGCCTCGAACTTTTACAAAAGGAAGTAAGTTAAATACCTTCATGTACAGATATAAATAAAATATTTTCAACATGTTTCATTTAGAGGGTCTACTACTGATATACATAATGACAACTATGTGGCTTCATGCATCTTTCAATCATACGGAGAGTTAATATTAGGACACAACATTTGTTGCCGCTAGCATAGAATATCGTCAGCGTTATGCTGAGTTTTACGATAGGTTAAGTTTTAGCAATTTATTCTGTATTTGTTGGATTATTTATATGTGTAAATAGGTCAAATTGAAGAAATTTTGTAGATTTGGACTATGTGGTTACCCACTGGCAACAATTGTTGCCAACAATACCAACATGAAATGACAAAAATCATACATATTATGTATTAAGGAGATCTAAGGAATAAAATGCATGCACTTATTTTGCAGGGAAAATTTTGGGATTAAACAGGTTAATGAACTCAAAAATATTTACCACTTGCCAACTAAGAATGTAAAAGATGCCCTGTTTTCAGTTTGTCATGCTCAAAACCAAACCTCTGGCTCAACCCTTATACTTACATTACAGGTTTTGTAGAGTTCAGTGTCATCCGCTCACTGTGGTGAGACGCCTCTTCCTGTTGTTTTATTTTGGTTGGACTTCCTGTTTTTCTTCGTTTTCGTGGTCTGGCTCGACTCTTTTCCAGAGCACCCTCCCCCTCCCCGGTCGCTGAGGCTGAGTGAGACTCCACACCTGCACTGAATCTGCAATCAAGGCACTTTAAGAAGCCAGCAGCCCTCAGTCTCAGCGCCTGAGTATTGTCTTCACTCCTGAGTGTGTCTCCAGCCCACACAACAGCCCAGCCAGCCAACCGGACTTTCTCTTTTGCCTCTATCCTTGAGTTTGGACATTAAAATTACATCTTAATTTGCTATCTGCCTCTGTGTCTGCATCTGGGTCCTCAAAATACGCCACACTCGGAGATACACTGGGAGTGCACAAAGAGCCAGAGTGCGTTGCATGTTGATCATGGTTGGTCATGTTCTTCCTCGATTGAGAAAAAAGAAAAAATCATGATAGAAATATTTTGCAATCATGTGTCACCGGCATAACAATGTCATGCTTCAGTTATGTTAAAAATATTAATCTATCTATGATTCAGCAGGATGATTGACTACTATCAAGGCATCACAAAACAATTACAAGCTTTTAGTCAGTATCTGTGATCAGTAATGACAAACATTATATGATAAGCAGTGTCCCCATGGAAAAGTTAAACATAAGGTTACCCCCAAGTCATAAATTCTCAGCATCTCCCCCAGTGCCTCTGCTCCCTTTCCAGTCCTTGAGGACTTCTGTCGATACAGTGCAGCTAGTTTTGGTGTGTATCGGACAAGTGCACAGTAAAACTGGTTGTGTAGATTCCTGTAGATTTACTTATACTTGATCTATGCTATATTTTGTAAGTATTGTATAATTACACTTTGAACTGGGGCAGAAGAGGTCACACAAATCCTGCAGGGAGAGAATAAACAAATGTAATTTATTTCCAAATTATGATAAACTTCATAATCAAATGGCGTTTCTAAATAAACAAATACTTTACTCGCCAACACTGTTGCTCAGAATGACAAACTTCTCATATCCAATCCCTCTATGGTAATATAACATAACAGAGAACAACAACAGTTTAATGTTGCTTAAGATGAAACATAAACGATCATAGTATAGTATGTATTATTTTGTCAAGCCCTTATTGGCGAGGGCAACTCTGTTAGACAACCCTTCTCAGCATATTGTGAATTTTTGAAATGTCGAATAAAAAAATGAATGTTCACATACGCAGCAACTGCTTTTATTAAAACATTTCACCAATATTTGAAAGCGAACTTTTGTACTCACCGGTTTGAGCCCGAAACTTTTAATTCCTTAAGTCGGGGTCCCAGAGCACAAAACACAGGTAATAACACAATTATGCAACAGCACGGTGAAGAAATTTGCATTTTTCTTCAGGTTTTTTGATAACTATGAATGTTTTTCCTCCTTTGTCTGCTCAGTTGCATGCCTCGCTGAGGTCCAGCCATTTTAAATTTTCTTGATACGTGCCCTGAACAGTTTGTTTTTTGTGATGAGTGACGTCACTTCCCCTTCATGTTTGCCTGTTGACTTACCCTGAATTTACACCACATCCGGACAGGCTCTGCTGCGGGACGGCAGCGATTTTCGCCATCCACCAATTCCTACTGGATGGGTTTGTGAGGCAAATTTGGTGGTGGATTTCAGACAGCGGGAATGGCGAGAACTCAGCCTGTCGAGGCTGTCTTTGCACATGGCTGTCTCTATAGAGACAACTGTCTCTATAGAGACAGCCACATGACCATATTAGCAGTGGATCGTGTCTTTCCAGAGGAGGAATTCCACTGCTAAACTTCTAGACTGTTAGAATCAGCTTCTCCTCATCCATGCTGTCAACAGGTTTAAATGCTGCGTAAAAACCTTCCACTTGTTCGTCTCTGCCCACGTTTGCACAGTGTAAAATATGATCCGCCTGAAACACAGTGTTTTATTTTGAAGAGAAGCCGAGTGTTTTATTTTTTTTCTGTGCCCGACTTCCTTTCCAGCATAGACTAATCTGTGCTGAATTTATGCAGCACGCTGCAGCGTTCGTAAAAATAAAACCCTGGCGATCAGCTGCGGAGTCTGCTGAACCACAGCGGCATGGAAAGAAGCCGGTGGAAATTTACTTTATGGGCTCTATTTTTGTGCCTCGCCGGGGACGTGCTGTGAGTCAGGTCCGTCGCGCCGACAAGGTGTTCCCAAGCACAATTTGGTATTTTGGTGAGCGGTGCAGCCCGGCGTAAGTATCCCCCCTCCCTAACTTTGCTCTTCCCAGCGGCGTAAGTCGTAGCAAGGGAGGAGAGAGGGCGTGGGGTGGATTTAACACAGCTGAGACCTGCTTTCACCAATCACATAAGCTTCTCTCCTTGCTTTTAAATCCGCCACCGGCGAGGCGTATTAGAATTTTCGTGAAGTAGTCAAAGAGATCAAGAGATGTCTGAAGACAGCAATGCCACACGATGGCAACAGAAGGCAGCCCCTCAACAAGTGCCACTGTAAGCGCTGCATTGGGCGCCCTCCACACTCTCTCATATAAGCACAGATGGATTTGGTGTGTGTAATGTTGGACCCACTGGTAAGACAAACACCCTTTCCACAAATAAAGACACTCACATAAAGTTGCACATATTCAAACGTGACAAAGGTGGGTTGAGCGCACAGATCACAACATAAACTCCAAAAATGGCATTAAAATCGGAACCATCTGTGCGTAAATGACGCATCGCGCTCCGTGGCCTGGCTCTTTCTTTCATAGATGTTGGCATATAAAATAAATTTGGCTCACAAAACTGAATATTATAATATTTGTATGTAGGCTTGAAGTAAATAATCTGAGCACTGAAACAAATCATCTGTTCAGCCGCTGCAGCAGGACGGAGAGAGGACACGGAGACATGTCCAGGTCGAGCTGCACGAGAAATAAGAGGAAGAGGAAGAAAGAAAAGGAGGGAGACAAATTAAATATCTTGTTAACTTCATCATGTGTGTTTATTTACTAGATATTTAATTCAATTTAATGCGATTTCAGCTGTGTTGATTCGGTCAGGTTGTGTGTCCAAACGCGTGCCAAACACGCTCATCAGATCAGATATAGATCAGAATATATCAATATAGATCTAAATGTATGTGCTGACTCAGATTATTAGTTGTTGATGATTATTTATTGCACTGAGATGTGCCTGACACTGTGGAAACCTGCCAGTGAGGCATTGGTGACGTATGCTGATACGCCGCCGGTCTACCAAAATACCACTAGACCAGCTGCACTCCGCCTGCGCTGAAAGCTGACCAGGTTTGAATCAGCGAGCTTTCAGCGCACTTTACACGCCACTGG